TATCACATCTTCTGGTTTTAAATCAACAATTTTGACGGATTTTGTGCAAGGACAGCTTCGGGTTCCGTTTCGCTTTGGCCGATGCTTGGAATTTCCCGGAAGTACACTTATTTACCGGAAGTTGTCGTCTCCTCCGCAGTCTCTTCGACTACGCGCGCGGCTCGACACAAAATGGAAAAAATAGGAGCCGAATTTATGACCTCGGTGTCGTACCGACCTGAGGTAAAAAGTACTTTTCGTGTTTCATGATACGAATCATTGGAGAAAATGTATCACATGATTGAACCATTTATGGCTATAACCGGAAACCATATACGTATGTCGGAAATTTCCGATATCGAACGAGACAAGAACAAACCACTCTTCAGCGGATGACATATATTAAGCAAAAGAATCTAGACGATCAAGCATGCTGCATGACCACTGACATTTACACGTGTTATACTGAAGAATGCTGTAAACGGTCTGTAAACGGATACACACGCTATCAACCTGGGAAGAACGGGAGAGCAAATTGGATGGTAAAGATGGCTTGTTATAGCTTAGCCTTCTGGCAGCGAGTAATAAAAGCTTTTTATATTTAAACACGATAATATTACAGCATTGCTGACGTGTCGTTTCAGAGGGCCTGTTTTTAACATCGCGCTTCTCATGTGCCGAGAAGCCTCATTATCTATTGAGTATTGTTGTTAATGCCAGTGTGGAAAGTTTGCATCGCGCGGCGGAGATATTGGCCGCGCAATTTTGATGCTTTCTATATATTTCCAAACTTTCCTAAGGTGCTGAGATGGTGGAATAGCTGATGAAAGGATTCCAACCGACATAAGTCTAGCGTTCTCTCAACTGGAAGCAATGGATGTCAAACGGAAGCATAGGTTTTGTAGAAGCCGAGTGACACATCGATTAAATCATGGCCTCTTGCATCAAAGGAGTTATGTGTAATCACACTTCTATAGTGTGGCATTATTACGCCATCTTCTCCTAGCAGACGTACTTGCTGCGGCAATCTAATTTTCAAGACCGCACGAAGACCAGACGTGTAGCTTTCAGTCTAATCATCAATATATACACAACATGATTTGTTACACTGCCAAAGTCAACTCGAGGGGGATTTGAATTAGTTCGAGATAACCTTAACCTTTAAATGTTTGTGAATGCAAGAGTTGAGTTCTGGTAGATTGCATCTGTTGAAAACGAATGTCGTGGCAATCTCTTATTGGACGGTGTTCTATGATAAACACCTTGTGACACCTGCGTGAGGGGGAAACCCCTCTGTTTCTTAGTGTTATTAAAAGATCAGGTGATACAAAACATCAAAACAAATCTGGTGTTGTTGTCGTTTTCATTGGCTAGGAGCCTAGGATAATTCTAGGCATTTGCCGAGCCCGCGTTATTTTTCAGCGGTATTTTGCGTCAATGTGAAAACACGCTGGAATTTTTTTAGTTCAGCTGTTTTTGGTTTGAATTTACAATAGAAAGTGCTCGTTTCTGATCCTTGAAAGTTGTTGTGAAGCTGGCACCCTTATTATACTGCAAGAGTTTGGAATCTTATCAATTAATGAATTCACAAAAACACCCACAGAAGAGGGGAAGAGACAGAAATCACAGAATTAAAACGACGCTGCTGCACAGAGGAAAAAATATGAAATCCAGAGGTTATGGTCGAGATCATTGGTTTATAAGCACAATGTTTAATTCGTTTTTTTATCACTATTCACGTTTGGAAAACAACACGCCTTCGTGTATCAGAGGGAAAACCCCTCTGGTTCTTCTTCTTCGTAAATATTTGAAAGATATTTTTATCCATCTGGTACAAACATGTTAGAACAGGTGCTGTCAATTATTGTCTTTCATAATGATTGAAAAGAAAAATTACTTGTCGACAATTTGAAAGAAAGTTTGTATAGCTCAATATGCGATTTCGATTAGGCATGAATAGTTAAATGGGCTATCCGCCATTTACATGCAACGGTATTGGTTGACATTGGTATGTGAATTCATTGTGTGAGAAAATGGCTACGAGCTCATTTCACTGCGTTCTCAATCATGGACTGTGAAGTTGAAAAAATTAATGCAAATCATCATTTATGTTATTTGACCACCATTTATTACAGTTACCTCTGCTAGATCGTTGATATTCTACATGGTATTGTTTTAAGACCGTGTTTGACATTTTCAATGGACATGACATTTAAATGTAAACAAAATATACAACACAAATATCCTATAGGCGACCAGCCGTGCGGAGGTAAAGACCCTGGCTTGCGAAGTTGATAGGCGATAGAAATTTCAGTATGACACATCTTTTTAAAGATTTACAAATTTTTCAGGTAAGCGCATTTTTAAAAAACACCTATTAAAAACTTGCAAGGTAAGCGGGTTTTTGTTTTATTTCTTCTCATGATTATAGGGTTTTTTTAGAAAAACACCCTATAATCATGAAAAAAAAATGAAACAAAAATCCGCTTACCTTGCAAGTTTTTAAAAAACACCCTATAATCATGAGAAAAAATAATGAGACAAAAATCCGCTTACCTTGCAAGTTTTTAATAGTGTTTATTATATGACAAGCATCACTTTCGGTGAAATGGCGGATTGTGATTGGCTGAGAAGGACTTTCAGCGGTCCATTATTTTCCCGTATAAAAACAAACGCATGCATTTTAAAACAAAACAGCAAAACTAATTTTGAAAATTGATTATATAGCCACAGATCTTAAATGGAATTTACGCTCCTGGTGGAATTAATAGGTTTGGTCGAAAGTGCGGGTTGCGGATAGAGTGGAAATGTGGATTGCGGATAGAGTGGAAAAAGGTACCTGCTAACGTAGTACCACATTGTACATCTCATTTATACTCTTTACACTAAGCCTCTATTCTTTATACTAATTCTTTATCTAAGCCTCAGCTTATAACCCTGAAATACAGAACACTTCCTCAGAATATATCAAACTCTTCAGAACTTGCATCACTTCCTAATAGACTGGGCTGTCTTTGGACTTCCACGCGCGACAACATCCTACGAAAATCTACCTGGTTTCGGTGTCTTTCCTTCAATGCTCAGAGTATTCGAACTAAAATCAAGTTACCTGATGGGACTTTTACCAGCAACTTAAAGACTTTTCAAGATCTAGTTTACGCAGAGAGACTAATAATGATAATGGTGACAGAGACATAGCTTAATAATAACATTAACCGAAAGGTTATCATGTCATAAGGAAAGACTTCCTCATGTGCTATAAATCTTTGGGAAAAATTCCGCGATCTTCGACGTGCGGCCATTTCCAAGACCAAGCGTACAGAGTACTTCCAGAAACTTCCATCTTTGCTAAAATCGAACAGTATAAAGTTCTGGTCTGTCTTCAAATTTACCTCGAAACATTCTAACATTCCCAGTAAAATGATGTGGACCCAACAAGACTTAACTTCCTCCACAGCTGAAAACCCTGTCGACATCGTCAACCTGTTAAACCGTTACTTCAACTCGGTGTTTAAAAATTCCGATACTACTGACGACCATTATCAGCAACTTAAAGTCTTTTCAAGATCTAGTTTACGCAGAGAGACTATTAAATGATAATGGGGACAGAGACATGGCTTAATAATAGCATTACGAATAATGAGATACTACCGAAAGGTTATCACGTCATAAGGAAAGATCGGTTTGCTGACAAACGTGGAGGTGGAGTTCTTATAGCGTTACGTAATGACATTGTTTACAACAGAGTGACTTCAAGAAAAAACTGCCCAAACTGGTCGGATCGTTTAGAGATCATCGTACTCGAACTTGAACTGTTAAATTCAAAAATCTCTAGTGTGTGCTTGTTATCCATCACCAAGTTGCGACTTAGACGAATGGTTCGAGTTGTTCACGATATTTCTGCAAGAACCCCCACACTACGATAAAGTCCTTATCACCGGTGACTTCAACTTCCCAGATTTAACTTGGAACTCCAGCCTGGTGCAGGCCTACCAAATCAGAAAGAAGTGTCTCGGTTGGATCATCTGAATTTAAAGAACTTGCGTTTGATTTTTTCTTCCACCAAGTCAACATGTACCCTACCAGACAAAACAACATTCTAGACCTCGTCCTAAGGAACGCTCCTGAAAACATTGTCAATCTCTCGTGCGTTTCCGCCAAAACAATGGATCTCTCAAGTGACCACAACCTGATGTTCTTTGACATCTTACTTCATATTAAATCAACAGGTTTTGACAAGAGAACTGTTTTTGATTTCCACCACGCAGACTGGAACGGCCTATATCACGCCTTTAACCACATCAATTTATCACCCAACGAGTCGAACGATATCAACAATGATTGGAAGCAATGGAAAGACCTCTTCCTTGGTGCCGCGACTGATTATATTCCACTCAAAACCTTCAAACGGCGTAGCTCTCCTCCATGGATTGACGGTGAAGTCAGGCGTCTTCTCTCAAAGAAAGACTCGTGTAGGAAAAAGACGAAACTTTCCTCATGTGCTAATCTCTGGGGAAAATTCCGCGATCTCCGACGTGCGGCCAAGACATTAGTAAGAACCAAGCGGAGAGAGTACTTCCAGAAACTTCCATCTTTGCTAAAATCGAACAGTAAAAAGTTCTGGTCTGTCTTCAAAACTACCTCGAAAAATAAAGTAAAATGATGTGGACCCAACAAGACTCAACTTCCCCCACAGCTGAAAAACCCTGTCGACATTGTCAACCTGTTAAACCGTTACTTCTGCTCGGAGTTTAAACATTCCGATCCTACTGACGACCATTTTTTCCCTGTTGCTCCTGATAACGACACGACCGATCTTACCACCATCGCAGACAATCTCGTTAACAGAAGAGGAAGTATGTGTTGTACTCAAATCACTGGATGAAGTCAAAGCTACCGGTCCCGACAAAATCCCAGCGTTATTGCTGAAGAACTGTACAGTTAACATCAGTTCATCTATATGCCAACTGTTCAACAAGAGCTTATCTTGTGGAATTCTGCCGTCCGAATGGAAGCTGGCCAAGTGCCAACACCAGTCCGATTCCAAAAAGAAACCCTATTCATGACGTATCCAACTACAGACCAATATCACTGTTGTCATTAGTCTCGAAAGTGTTTGAACGCTGTATATATAATAGATGTAAAGAACACGTCTACGGTCAAATTTACCAACTGCAGTACGGTTTTCTCAGAGGTAGATCTACAACATCGCAGCTGCTACACGTTCTCTATCAAGTTCTTTACGTACTTGAGCAAAAAAACCAAGTTGACATTGTCTACCTCGACTTTGACAAAGCTTTTGATAAAGTAAGTCACGATCTATTACTGGTGAAGCTTCACAACTTTGGTATTCTCTAGAGGAAATCTTCTTCGTTGGTTCAGAGACGTCCTTTCTGGGCGATCCCAAAGAGTCACTGCGCTTGGTGTTACATCAGAACCACTTCCAGTTCTATCAGGTGTTTCCCAGGGATCATTCTTGGGCCACTTCTATTTATAATTTACATCAATGATCTCCCGAAATATGTCTCACACGATACTACCAATTTTTGCTGACGATACCAAATGCCACCGTCCTATTAAAAATTCTTAAGACAAGAAAACCCTTCAATCTGACTTGGACAACATTACCAACTGGTGTCGTGGGACTCACGACTGAAAAATGGAGTTAAACCAAACTACATGTGGTGTGCTGCATCTTACAAAATCTCGTGAACCATCACACAGTATACGGTGCTCGGTACCCCAGTTAACCGACCTGACAGTCAGAAAGATCTTGGCATGTTTATAACTGGTGACATACCTCAAATTGAACAAGCAAGTGCAGGAGATTTCGTCGAAAGCCAACAAGATGCTGGGTTTCGTGTAGGTTTCGTAACCCGTGATTTATGTCTTTCAGTTCTAGATATAATGTGTCACATTAACACTATTTTCTAGTAGAATAGTCATGTTTATGCGCGACAGGGACAATGTGGTGACAGGGATAGCTTGTGTCACGAATAATTGCCTCTATTTCTCGAAGAGTTAGTTTCTCTTCTTTCGCTCACACTGCCAAAGTCAACTCGAGGGGGATTTGAATTAGTTCGAGATAACCTTAACCTTTAAATGTTTGTGAATGCAAGAGTTGAGTTCTGGTAGATTGC